CAGTGACAATTCCTGTCCTTAAACACTCAGTAACACCCTCGTCATGCTCTCTAATAGAGCAAAGCCATTAAGTTGTCCCCATTGTAATTTAGATCACAGGAGAGACTTCCACAGTTTCTTTCAGGTTAAAATAACTGGTATACAGAGAGTAGGCAAAATTATTCCACTGTAGCTACGTGCTTAATTATATGGAATACTGCATAAATTGTCAAGTGCAAAGAATTATTCTGATAAATTAAAATACTAATTAAATAGGCTATTGCAGAATTTTGAGAACATTATAGGGCTCCGCTTCTTCAGGTAATTTGCATATCCTTCATCTAGTGAATTTAATTTAAAGGCCTCATTTTTTGTGTGTTTGGAAGCCCTTTTTGTTTCTGTGGAAGATTAAAAAATGGATTTATATGTTGCTAACTGGTTTGGGGGGATTTTATTGAGGTATTTTTTCTTTTTTTTTTTTGAATAGCTGTTTTCATTATGCCTCTTTGCTGATGAGTTTGTCAGTTCTCCATTAGTATTACAGGACTTTAAACTGTGGCCATAAAAAAAATAACTTTGATGGAATGTGCAATATGCAATGTTACCCGGAATTATAATTTCCACTTTCATGAAATTTGCAACAGAAACTTCATCTGCTGTATATTTTATTTGAATAAAAACTAGCAGGTACTACGTTAAAATACTTCTAAATATTTGGGCCAATTTTCAAAGGATTAATAGCTTGTTCTTAATATCTAAATATATTTTCCCACCACTTCTTCCATCTATCTATATTGACTGTGTTTTATTTTTTTTAATTCTCCATTATAGTTATGCATAGAAGAGGTTAAGTAGTTATATTCACCGTTCCACAGCTTGAAGCAGCTGTTTGATATGTAGTTGCTGCTTCAGCTTCAGCACCATTTTTGACAGAGTTTCTTGACCTTCCTGAACAGCTTGTGGAGTTCAAGGTTAGCTAAAATATGCTCCTGTAAATGCCTGGAGTGAACACACCAGACACTGTCTGCTGTGTCTCTCTCCACAATCTGACAGTGCCTGAGCTTGACCATTTTCCGGTTATGATTTAGTCAATAACACCTCGTGCCTTCATGCCTCCTAATTTTGGCAGGGTATATGTTAGCATGACTGTCAGACCTGTCCTTTGTGTTTTAGACAATATCAAGGGGGAAAGCAGGGGTGTTAAGCAAGCCCTGTTCACTGTTGTTGTTTTTTAATATCAAAGCTTCAATAATTAAAGTCTGCAGGAAACCTATAAAAAAGGAGGTCAAATATGTAATAGTAATTACAAAATTCAGCAATTCAGCAGACCCAATATTTTCTATTAACTGCTCATGTGGTAAGAAATTACACAGTGGGATTTAAGCCTTTTTGTTTGCTTATGCCCATTTATTTTGCAGCCACTCTGCTGTGCAGTTTTCTTTATCCTAAGCTACCAAAGAATCATTTATTGGACCATTCAGTTTCTTTGAAGGAGGCTGTGGAGCTTTCTCATTTTATAAATCTTCTAAAATTTTGCACTTGGTAGAAATCTGCCTTTAGTGCGTATGCTGGGTGTGAGGCAGTCAGTGTGGTAGCATGGTACCCCCTTGCAATGAAATCTGCAGGCAAGTCTGCAGCCATCAGTGAAATAATGTCCTCCAGAGCCTATCTCAAGGCTGAAAATCCAGCTTCTTGCTAAATATTTACTTTCTTTTTTTGAAATTTGTATTATCCAACATATCATGGCTGGGCTTCGTGAACGAAGATTTAGGAAGGCTCTATCCACGTTTGTTACAAGCGCGCTGGTGGCTAATGAGGCCAACACGAGATAGACATATCCGATTGCAAAAGGCACAGCAGAAAGACTCCTTAGGTGGTATATTCTGCAAGACACGATTCTTTCTTCATTGTCTTTTCTCCTCAAGAGTGATCCTGCGTGCGTTCTCAAAGGAAATGGCAGCATTATAGATGGTGTGTCTCCAGGCCTCCAGATTAGAGGCCAGAGTAGACCAGTTATGTTGATCAATATGGCCAAGGCTGAGATGTTGTTTCAGGGAGTCCTTGTATCTTTTCTTCGGGGCTCCTCTCCTGCGGCAGCCGGTGGCAAGTTCACCATAGAGCAGGATCTTAGGGAGGCGGTGGTTGGTCCTTCATCCTTGAGATGTGCCCTGCCCAACACAGCTGTGTTCTCAGCAACATGGCCTCAATACTTGTGACTGCTGCTTGCTCTAGAACAAACATATTAGTCACATAATCTGACCAGTGGATGTTTAGGATCGTACGGAGGCAGCGTTGATGGAAGCGCTCTAGGAGTCACAGGTGATGGCAGTAGATGACCCATGATTCAGAACCATATAAGAGAGTAGACAGCACTATGGCTCTGTAAACACTGATCTTAGTACTTTTCCTCAGGTGTTTATTACGCCATACTCTTTTGTGGAGTTTTCCAAAAGCACTATATGCCTTTGCTAACCTGTTGTCTATCTCTCCATCAATCTCACCATCTGAGGAGATGAGGCTACCTCGGTAATTAAACTGCTGGACTGATTTGAGCTCTGATTGGCCAATGGTGATGTGGGGATGATGGAAGACTTCCTGAGGTGCAGGTTGATAGAGCACTTCTGTCTTCTCTAAGCTGACTTCCAGCCCAAAGAGCTCAGCAGCATCTGCAAAGCAGGATGTTAAACCCTGCAGAGCTGCTTCTGTGTGGGCGACAAGGGTGGCGTCATCAGCATAAAGCAGCTCCTGGATAAGATGATTTAAGGTCTTGGTGTGGGCCTTCAGTCGCCTTAGATTGAAAAGGCTTCCATCAGTACAATATCGAATGTAGATCCTCGAGGTCTGCCGTGACCCTTTGGGGCATCATGCTGAAAAAGACTGTGAAAAGGGTTGGAGCAAGAACGCAGCCTTGTTTCACACCATTCTTTATTAGAAAGGGCTCAGGAAGTGCATTACCGTATCTGACTTGGCCATGCTGGTTTTTAGGTGAGATGCAGTATGCGCGGAACTGAACCCACCCTTTAATCCTAAGGTTCATCTGCCAGGGCCGAGCAAGCTTGGACAGTGGCAGTGAGGTCCTCAGGATGCAGTTTTAATTAGAACCACCTTCTCTTAGATGGATGGCCTTACAGGGCTAAGCGAGCTCCATCTGCCCAGGTTTGGGATTAGAGCTGTCCTTCTCCTAGGATGACTGCCAGAAGGCCAATGAGCTCATCCTGCCCAAGGATGTATTGTATATGCAAAACATAGCATCAAATCTCTTGGTTCAGGCAATTCTCCTTCTCATGTGGTGACTCTGGGTAGAATAAATACATCTGTGAATGTGTAAAGCATGGCATAGGTGTTAAGTATGTGAGTATTGTATGCAGTATTTAGGCTGGAAAACATGCATTTAAGCTTTATTAGCTTGGGACTGCATGTTCCTCTCTGCTTAACCGGTAGCATATTTAAGAGAAGCAAAAATAAAGATGTGTGGGTCTAAAAGGTGTACAGTACTTTCCTCTTCATTTAAATGGAGGGCAATATTCATCCCTTGCTGAAGGCAGTCAGAAAGGTTTCTGTGTATTAGAATTGCTTGAGGTTTAACTTTTTGAGTCTTTGCACATACAAACTCTTACCAAAATCTTTCCGTAAGAGATGTGATGGAGCCTAATTATCCAACTCGCCGCTGAAACAAGTGTGAGTCATTTGTGTTGCACTTTGGACAAACTAAATAAAGGATCAGTTCATAATAATCTTGCTTCTCATCTGCTGCAATCTGAGCTGCTTTTAATATTTCAAATGGCAACAATTAAAGAGTATTTTTCACAAATGAAAGAAAAATATGTTAATTCCTTTAAGTATTTTTATGTAAATTTACAGTGCATGATATGTTCTAGCACACTTCTTGAACTTTCTGGTAAGGAGGTTTCCTTTAGGCAATTTCAGTTGAGAAGCCGAATCTATCCAAATTTTGTCTGTAATCAAAGGAAAGATGTAGGTGCCTGCAGATGTGTGTAAAATATGTGGGATGACTCATTGTATTAAAAGTCCATCCCTTTCCAAGGACTGCAGAGAGAACCTGGATGACTCACTTGGATAACACAGTCAATGACTAGGCAGCTAAAGGAAGGAGAGGTTAACAAGGCTGCAGGGCTCCATTTCTACTCATAAATAAGTCAACCCAGGTGCCTGGGTTTTGGCCACAAGTCTGGCTGACTAGAAGGTTGAAGTCTTCCCATCCAAAATGGGATGAGATACTCCCAGCTAGGAATAATCTCAGCCTTGTGCTGTTCCCAAAACTGTGGTTGGGAACAACATATTGTTTTGTGAGGCTACAAATGGTCAAAGGCAGAAATCCTGTGAAGACCACAGATTTAAAAGTACTGGCAATCATACAGCAGTGCTCAAGTTCATGCCCTGGGCATGTTTGGGTTGCAAGTATAGTTGTAGTCATAGTGATTGCTACCTTTATTTACCTGTTTTATGCTGGATTATTTTATTTTGGTTTTTAATGGTTTTATGATATAGAAGCTGATAAATATGAAAAAAACTAAATTTAAAAAAAAAAAAAGACAAAATTTTTCACTGCATCCTGATGTTGTGAAATAAACTCTTCATCTTACCTACTAGATAAGAGTCTGTATTTGTTGTAAAATTTCCTACATAGCAACAGTTCTGTTGTAATGGCAAAGGTTCTGCCCTGCTCTTCAATGCAAGTGAGACAGTGGGAAGTTTCCACCAAAGAGAACTTTCCAAGCATATTATGTATATGTGTTAAATGTGTGTGATACTGTGTTTACAAGGGACATAGAATTAGCTTGGCTTTCTTTTTCATGTAACAATGAACAATTAATAGCATAAATATGTGTTCAAGATGCTGACTAGCAGAGCTGCTCTCAGGGAAAGATATTCCGCAGATGACAGAGGTAGGAACTGTCATGAATATACTGATGAAGGAAAGAAGGTTGGTTGCAAATGCTGTAAAATCATACATATTCCAGATTTCCTGTAACTCTTTCAATCTTAATTTTTCCTTACAGCCATAAACAAAGAGAAACTTGAGAAAACAACTGGACTGAAAATTCTGCAGACTGGTGTGGGGGAGGTAAGTGGCTTCCAGGCATTTTACATTCTCAAAAACGTTTTAATTCTTGGGGTTTTTTAAGAAATCCTGGAGCTCATGAACGTTTGTGAGTTACCAGTCTGATAGTGCTAAGGGCCTTTTATGATACAGTTGCATCTGTCAAAATACAATCTGCTGCACAAATAGCACTGTATCCCACAGAGAAAAAAAAATACCATCCTTATGAGAAAAGTGCAGCCAGCTTGAAGAAATGCAGTTTTTGGCTTTGTTGTATCACAGGAACAAAATCCCCAAAGATGAGCACAGTGACTGAAGTTCTCGTATTATTCCCCTTGGTTTTCATGGAGTGCTATCTCATGTAGATCAATGAAAATTTAAATTTGGGGTAAAGAGTCTTCAGATATTTGAGAGAATCTGACAGTGAATGTCTTGCTTATTTTGGATGTAACTTGAAACATAAATAAAACATGTGTCTGTTATTATAGTGATATCACTAAGCAAAAACTCCACTAAGCAGTTCATAATTTATTAATAAACATGATGCTATCTGCTAAGAACCTTGTATGAACTACTCGTACTAATTTTGTGTACACATTTATCTTTTTTTTCCTTTTCATTTAAGTAATTTTACTGGTGGTGACTGCTCACAGGGCTAGGCAAACGCCTTTTCTTGTGGTTACATTATTCTTGGTATTAAAAATAATTAATTACTAACTTCTAATATAGTGAAGGAATATATATATTTTTCTTTTTTCTGATTTTTGGAGTTTATATTTCTAATTTTTATCAGTCTATGCCTAAGAAACATAACTTGACAAGATTTCTGAGGTTCATTGTGCAACTTCATTCACATTACTGAAAGACTTGGTTCTGAAGAGGTAATAACCCTGAGAGCTACTGTGATGCTCAGGGTCAAAGTTGTAAGAATTAGAACTTGAAAACAAAGATTGGTGAAATCATCAGAAAATGAAAGCCATCATCTCTACTAAGCTGATTTAACCAGGTGTGTTTCTTGAGGATGCATAACCTGAGGAACTGGGAATTGTATCCTGGAGCATGGCTGTGCACTTTAGGGCATGTTCTAGCTTCAAGTCAGACTGAAGCTTGTGTTTGTGTTATTTGCAACCTCTGGTTTCTGTTAAATAACAGGAGAACCAGGACTGTGGCACGGGCTATGGAAGCCTGATTCAGTCCCATTTTACCCAATGGGACTCCTCATACTAATGAAATACCTCCATGAATTTTGTCCCATGGATTCCAGTTGGCTTCAAAGTCCACTGGAAAATGAAAGCCCACTTCACTTCAGATGCTTAGTGTTAAATCAGCTGTTATATGTGGTCAATGGAGAAAGAATGCACTTTTGCATATTTGAAGTGCAGCAAGGTGTCACTGGTTAAATGCATCATTAATCCACATTGTAGTAATGGGGTTGTTGTAACCATGGTAGTCTAAGGATGTACAGGAACTATAACCTCAAGGACTTCTGGTTTTTAAGACCAGCTAACAGAATTGGAAAAATTGAAGAGTTCTTAGGCTAGAGACCTCATTGATCTGATTCTTGTATTTAGTTTAGTAAAAGCCACTGTAGAACTCACTTTCCCTGTATTTAAGTTATCATAACATTTAAAAAAACTACTGATATTACTTAGATTAATAAAAATTTTCATAGAAGTCTGTGTTTTACATTCTGCCAAATATGCATTTTTAGAAGGCAAAAAGTGAAAGCAGACATTCTGACTTAAATATATTCCAGGTTATATCTGAGAGAGGGTGATCATCAGAGAGAGAACCAAGTGTTTTGAAACAGTGAGGTGATGGGAGAACATTTATTCAGCTGCTTATATATTTTGTTGGATATGAATTCTCCCAGCTGTGTACATTCCCCATTCTAAGTCTTGTCAGAGTGTACATAATAAATGCATTTCTGTGGTCTCACCTACATAAAAAATAAAGGAGTGCTGTAACCAAGCTGTTTCTCTGTTGATAGAGTATCAGATTCAGGGTATTTCAGGTTAAATCTAACTATGGTAATCCAGTTTTGCAGTTTGTTTTTTATTCACCCTGATGAATAATTATTATTGAAATAATGGAAAGTACATATTTAAACATAATGAAGGAGCCTTTTGTTGAGTAAGGATTTCTTTTACTTTACACTGTAAGAATGGAATTACATTTAATGGTAATGGTAAATCACAGTCAAGATGCTCAAATCAAAAGTACTTAGAAAAACTTTAGTCTGAGAATGAGAAATGGCCTTTTTGTTTGGACAGTAGGTGAGATGCATGACAAAGTTAATGGACATATAATCTTCACTTTCAAGCCTGTAAAATAAAAAGGATTGATTTTGCAAGGCAAGTTTCATATCTGAAATACCTCAAGAGAAATATAGCTGAGATGGTAGTGGCAAGTGGAGCTGCTGTATAAACAAATGCAGGAACTCTTCTAAGCTCAGCAATAATTCATGTGTGGCTCCGGAGAGTGGAATCTGTTTTAGGTGTTGATCTATGATAACAGGATTTGTGCCTCAGTAAGGAATGTGTGGACACCAGTGACTACCCAGGCCTTGGGCGTGTTAGAAGGAGACTGTCTCTTTCTCTGTGGAGATGACAAATGCTTCTCAGAGCTCCTCAATCTCCCGCTTTCTTTCTCTATCTCAGGAAAAACGTTTCAAAAGCAACAACAAATTATAAAATTCACACCAAGCTTACTGAGCCATTCAGTCAAATCCAGGGAGGGCTGATGAATTGCTTTTGTGTCACTGCATAAACATGTGCTGTGTAGTCATTAACAACATGGGTCTGGAGTCTACCACAGCTACAATGGTGTTTATCATCTTTATGTCATGTAAAAGATTTCCACAGCTTCAGTGATTTTTTTGGCTAGACCTGAAGTTAGCTGCATTGTGTCAACGTAGGGTAGGCTCTGCTTTAGCAGGATTAAAAATGTGTTCCTAAGCTGCAACTTCAGAAGCTGCTCATATTTCAGGATGCTGAACTTAAAAGTTCTGTACATTTCATGGGAACGTTTGGATGAAAAAGTGCAAAGCGCTGCCTGGACTTCTCTGCCTGCAGAGCTTCTTTCAGGCTATTATGGAACAGACCTTTACCTGTACTTCCACAGCACATCCACCTCAACATCTAACATTTGCAGTAGAATGTTCAACAGTACAGAGATCTAGAGAGATTGGTTTTTTGTATGCTCTATATCACTCTTAAAGTGCAAATTATTCTGGCACTTGTCTGGTTTGTAAGAAGGCTGTTATGCCAGAAAACCAGAATAACTCTGCTATAGAGAAAACCAGTGCTGACATTGAAATCCTGAGGGTCTGTGCATTGCTTTAGTACTGACTATCTCTGGAATCACGTTTGCCAAGATGTTTATTTTCTATTTGGAGTTTTCCAGTACCTATAGCAGGTGCTGGAAAAAAAGTAAAACTAAAAAATCTCTAGAACTGCTCTACAGTAGCCCCCCAAGATTTGAGTCATTGTCATGCATGTTTGTGCCACACAAATTCATCGTAAGCATTTCACACCTTCTTGTTTATTCAGGTACAATGAAGCTTTGAGGTATTTTCTTTTGATCTCCTACACATGAAATAAATCTCTGAAGTCCTGAGGTAATTTTTAGTTAAGTTCAAGAACTTCTTGAAGTTGAGTGTCTGTGGGGGTATGAATGTACATGTTATTTATGTGTATATTTGCATAATACCATAAAGCACACAGTACTGGTAAAAAACCCGAAGAGCTAAACAGCATTTAAGCAGGACTCATGTCTCCATCCTCCTCTGTCCCAGTTTGATGTGAACCACTGTGTTTTGCAAAAATAAGAGTTGAACTTGTTGCTCTGCTAGGCTGAGCACTCCTGCAAGATCTTGGGGCAGCATTTGGTCCCACATGGAGCGAAAGCCTCCTTAGCAGCATCGTGGTTACCACCTGACTCCTACTGAGTTCAGGACTCAGCAGCATCAGAAATCCCAGTCCCATGCAAACCTTAGTCCAGGAGTTGCTCTCCAGCCCGGGAACCACAGCTCTGCACAAGGGTCACTGAGTAACATGATATTCCGTCAACATGCCTTAGGAACTTAACTACTTCTCTCCCTTCACATAAGCACTTTTGAATGATTGTAGGAGCACAGTATTTTTCTGTTCAATTCCATGCTGAGCTTGGCTGTGTCCTGAGTTACTATGACACGGATAAATAACTGTTTATCCAGCTTTTGGTTGAAATTTGTTTTCAGCCACAGTTTCAGAATAACAGGTCAGGCTCTCCAGTGGCTGAAGAAAGTGTGATGATTCAAAGCAGGTTTCGGAGGCTATGAGTATGTGATTTGAATAATCAAAGATCTGAATCAGGCCTTAAACAAACAGAGAGAATGACATTGTTTCTGTCTTGAACTGGTAAAGCAGCACCCACTTTGGAATATGTTATATTAAATTAACTCTTTCAATTTCCCAGTAGGGCTGCACAGAAAAAACTCATCACTGGCGTCATAACATTGCAAGATTTGAATCATGGCTCTCATATGGCAGACATAGGAATTAGAACAGTTTTCTGAACTAAATGGAAGTAACCCAAAATATATTTGAAATGGGCACTTTACCATAGCTCTAGATGTTCTAAAACAGAGCAGTGATATTTTGACATGTTTCAGGATATTCTCATGTATAGATATTTTGATAGGTGTAGAGTTATGTTGATGTTTCATAAAGTGATGCTATTGCAATGAAGAAATCCACGTTTAAAAATTCTAGTGAAGCTAGAGGACATGATAAGGCAGATTCTCCTGTGATGTGCAAGCCTCTGAGGCAGGAGTCAAATTTCTACCTTACTACCTTCCTTAATGTTGCCAAATTTTGTCACTCATATTCATGTATGGAGATTTTAACTAGAATGACTTTGGAAATCCATAAAAAACCTGGAGTGCAGAACTTGACGAGTCATTTTCATTTGCTGAAGATTAAGGTGTAAAATTTTGTCTGATTTTCTCTGGCTACTGGGTAAAATGCTAAGTGTTGTCTTTT